CCCCTCTGACTTCATTAATTCTGTCACGGTCTCCTGCTAGAGCAGGGGGTTGGGCTAGATGACCTCTGAAGTCCCTTCCGACTCCGTTAATTCTTTCACGGTCTCCTGCTAGAGCAGGGGGTTGGGCTAGATGACCTCCGAGGTCCCCTCTGACTTCGTTAATTCTGTCACGGTCTCCTGCTAGATCAGGGGGTTGGGCTAGATGACCTCTGAAGTCCCTTCCGACTCCGTTAATTCTTTCACGGTCTCCTGCTAGAGCAGGGGGTTGGGCTAGATGACCTCCGAGGTCCCCTCCGACTTTTGTTAATTCTGTCACGGTCTCCTGGCAGAGCAGGGGGTTGGGCTAGATGACCTCCGAGGAACCCTCCGACTCTTGTTAATCTTGTCACAGTCTCACAAAGGTTCTGCTTGAGCCGCCTCAATCCCTGGCTCCCCAGCCCAGATAATCTCGTAGGTCATCTAGTGCAACCTCCTACCCCCATTTTAACGGCGCGGCCGCAAATTGGTCGTGGTGGACCCCCCTTAATTCGTCCTCTGTGGGCACCCCCCCCCCATAGGAGGCCCCCGTACCCCTCCCCCCCGGGGGGAGGCCCCCCCCCCCAGCCCTCACCACGGTGGCCAGCCTGAGGACCAGTTGCACCACCACGATCAGCGCCAGGAGGACGGCCAGCGCCTCGTGGAGCTCCAGGCAGCAGCCCTCGGGGGGCGGGTGGCACAGGAGGCTGGTGTCCCCCATGGGCGAGGAGGAGGCGCCAGGGCCGGCAGCTGCCCGGCTGTGCCAGGCATCCCCTCTGCCCCCTCCGCTTGGCACATCCCGGGCAGGGGTGGGGTGGGGTGTGTGTGTGTGGAGGGGCCTGGCCCAAGCAGGGTTTGTGATGCAACCGAGGCCCCCTCCCTCCCCCACCAGGGATTGTGAGGTGGGGGGGGCTGGGGGAGGGGGGAGGTTGGGGCTGCCCTCCCCCCTCTCTTTCCACCTGGGTTTGTGTCCTTCGGGCAACCTCCACACCCATCAGGCTGGGCTGTGAGGTGGGCAGAGGGAACTCTCTTGCAGGTGGCTACTAGGAGGGCTGGCCTGGATCCCTCATCTCCTTCCTTCCTTCCTTCCTTCCTTCCTTCCTTCCTTC